ATGATATTTATCACTAGTCCTTAAACTTTGACTTCAGCTTTCCAAGGGTGAGGGTAAATTTATAGCAGTTAATTAATAGCAGCTCATTAGCTGTCTTCTTGCTTCCCAGTATCTCTGGGTTTCCGTCGTTGTCTTTAGAGCTGGACACCGAATCAGGTGAGTCTTCTCTATTTCCTCCTGTAGGTTACATGGAGGGCATGTGGGTTGAGTGTATACTCCCAATCTGTGAAGGTGTTTTGCCAGGCAATCTTGTCCGGTACGTAGTCTAAACTCAGCAACGGCTTCGATTCGTGGCCAGTCAGCTATGTCGGAGAGTGCCACATGCTGTAATTGCATTTCGCATTGTCGTATACTTGCACTTGGATGAATGGATATGATGGGCTTGTGAAATTATTGCACAAACAGTTATCTTAATACATTACTGTTCTAAGTAAGAAATGATGCGGTTACAAAATGTCTATTATAAGTAAAAATTAGAGTGTTCCTACTTAATGGCCACCCCATAGTAACTTGTGTATCTCATATGATGCAAAAAGAAATTTTTACCCTGATTGTGAACGAAAAGGAATTAAAGCATTTAACGAATAATTGAGCTTAAAATAACAGCACACACTGATCCCCCGATTCTGCCTTTTATAGAGGTAGAAAAATTGTGTGCTTTCAAGACTGTAGCGGATTGCTTCATTAGTAAAGCCTGACTGACTCGGAAATCTCTTTGGCAGATTCTCTTACATTTAATAAGGCTCCCAGAACTAGCTAAGCTATAGCCCAGCTATAGGGAAAACAGACGTATAGCACAGAACACGGTTATTAAGTAGGGTTATTGTGAGTAAAGTGCACACGCAGGGAGCTTAGTCATGATCTGCTTGGCGGATTAGGGTAAACAAACAGAGGCTGCTGATTGGCACTATTTGTACGGTCACTGCACACAGAGTTGTACGGCCGCACCTCCCAATCCTGACGTGCAGGCATGTGATACCATGTCCCACATGACTCAGAAATATCCTTCTTTCTTAATTTTAACTTGATGCTATTATTTGCATTTACATTCCATTTGATTTGAACAAAATGTACGCCATCTTTATCAAAACAAATATAAAAGGCTTCGATTTACAATATGGAGATGCAAAGATTCTTGAGCACATTTGAGCAGGCAAAATATTGTGTAATATTTCAAATGATGATAATATTTTCAGGGGATAAGATAAAATATAATAATAAAACTTTTCCCTATTTAATTTCGACAAGGTATTCATATGCACACTTAGCTTAATTCAATCTACTCAATTCTGTTGAATGCAATCTCTAATTGCAATCTCAAAAAAGTGTAATGAAGTAAAGTATCCAAGTGCTTAAATATCTGAAAGCACGCAAACAAATTCAATGAACCAATACGAATACATTCACGTGATAAGAAGTGAGATAATTAATTCGCAATATCCTAAACCAAATCAGAGCATATATATATATTTAAATAAATAATAAATACAACAATCAGATCTAAGAATTTTATTTATTGTCCTATGCTAAGTCGCAAATATAACACTAAATTATATTGGACATAAGGGGTGTGCGATAGACTTACCTCCACCTGTTGTACCATGGCCAACGTATACACATACGGCAAAAACGTCAATAAACCTGTAGTTGATTTCTAAATTCAAACTATCATCACCCCACTGTATGTCTAATTCAACCACTTCAACAATACTCATCTTACCTTGTCTCTACCTTTCTGTCTGTCTGTCTGTCACTCTTACATCTCCGAATCACTTTTCTCTCCTTCCTCTCGAAATTTCCCATTTTCACGTTTCCCTCTCTGCAAAATAGGCTATAATGCTAATGATAATTATAAAGACGCCTGTCATTTGAAATAAACAAATAACTTAGTAAATAGATGAATAAACATTCAGTACAATTTGGCAGACAGCTTTCTTGCAAGCCGATTTCCAACATTGCAAATGTGACTCTAAGTGCAGTATACAAGTAAGGAAGTGGCTGTGTAAAGTGGCCGTAAAAGAAAGAAATTTTATCGATCGGTTGATTGCAACTCTGCACAAAACCTGTTGTTTGCCATCTGTCATAAGTGACGTGACCTCGGCCTCTTGACCTGGATTGCAGACCATTAAGTTGTACTGGGCCAAATTATCAGTTACTACCCCGGTTACTACCTGACCCCAAGTGACCGCATTCGATACATTTGGCACCTGCAAGCTATATATAGCCCGCCAAAAGATACATATGTCATATTTCAACTGATACCTCTACAATCAACATGTCTCGCTCTCTCCCTTCAAATTGCACACACCAATCACTTATTCCTACACAGGCAAAACCTGAAAATCTCGACAACTTGATTTCCCAATATCATCCAACTTCTCTGCCTCCCCCTCACCATTTCTCCTCTTCATCACATCCTACATATACCGCCATTCCTCCTCTTCCTTCACCTTATTCTTTACACTTACTCGAAGCATACCATTTCTTCCTCTCTTCAAGCAACCACTCCAGTGTGCAAACAACCAATGCACTCCATTCACCTCCTCCAACTCCTTCTTCGTTAGGCTCCACTTCAACAGGTGCTCTCTTTTCTCTGCCTCACGTACATTCCCTCTCCCAACTAGCTCTCCTCACCTCCATCGATAACACCCTCACTACATTCCTCGAGACCTCTATATCGCTGTCCTCCACTTCCCCTACCACTTATCGCCACATTTGCCCTGCTTCTCCACATCCTTCTCGTACCCCTCCTCCTCCTCCTAAACCTTTCCCCTCCCATCCACCTCCTACTTTCTCTTCTTCCACTCCATCCACTTCTACCTCCCACCCAGTTCCAGTTATTCCCCCCAACGTTCATCACACCAATCACCAAACACATCATCAAATTCCTCCAATTTCTACTAAATCCTACCATCCACATTCTATTCAAATGCAACTGTGTCCGCCTTCAAAACAATCTTCTTTGCATCCACTTCAAATGTCCTCCCACATTTAACTTCTCAAACCAAACAATTCACACGCTTACGCACGCTACCACAAATCGCCTTTCTTTCCCTCATCTCCCTCCTCTACCAACACTCCCAGACCTTCATCATCACCTCACACAAAACACATCTCAACGCCCCACGTGCGTGCATCCGCACACACATCCCATTCAGTCTCCCAATCCTTCATCACCTCCCACATCTCCGCCATCTACATCGCTTCCGCCCTCTCCTCCCATTCCTCCCTATTCTCTCACTCCTCTCTCTCCATCTCCGAGGAAACACACCAAGTCATGTCCATAATCACCAATAAGAGGCTCCCTCTCCGGTCTCTTTTAACTTTTTCAAAACACTTTCACTATAAGGCCATTTCCACTTGCCTGCATGCACGCACTCGAACGCACACGCACTAACACACACACACACCTCACGCAGACAATGATCTACGTTTCAGTCAACTAGCACAAACCCACGATGGCCAAGTCATCCATATCTTATGCACAGTTACATCCAGATAGCGAAAATCAAAATTTAACTAAATCAAGAATTACACTCACTTCACATCTCACCACATTCATCACAAGGGGTGTACGATAGACTTACCTCCACGTGGTGCACCCTGGGCAACGTTTACTCATACGGCTAAAAGTCTATCAATCGGCAGTTGACTTCTCATTCAAAATACCATCACCCCACTGTGGGTCATATTCAACTACTTCCACAGTACTCACCTCACCTTTTTCTCCTTTGGTGGGATGCTGAGCTCTCATTCACGAAGAACACCGAAATTCCAACTTCACTTCTGGCCTCCCCAACCCTCCACCCGTATCCTCACTCCAATCTACAAATACTATTACTTACAACTTTGCAATAGCAAGATTGTGGACAATGAAGAGGGTGCTAAAAATCTTTCATTAATGCTTCACGAATTATCCATTTAGAATTGAGAAGAGTGGAGTAGAGTAGAGTTAGGACACGAAGGGGTGTGCAATAGACTTACCTCCACGTGGTGCACCCTAAACAACGTATGCTCATACGGCATAAAAGTCTATAAACCGGGAGTTGACTTCTCACTTCTTACCACCAAGACCCCACTGTATGTCCGATTCAACCACTTCAACATTACTCATCTTACCTTGTCTCTACCTTTCTGTCTGTCTGTCTGTCTGTCTGTCTGTCTGTCTGTCACTCTTACATCTCTGAATCACTTTTCTCTCCTTCCTCTCAAAATTTTCAATTTTCATGTTTCCCCACCCTGCAAAGTAGGCTATTAAGCTTATGTTAATTATAAAGACGCCTGTCATTTGAAATAAATAAACAAACAACTTAATAAATAGATAAATACAAATTTAGCTCGATTTGGTAGGCAGCTTTCTTCCAAGCCAATTTCCAACATTCCAAATGTGCCACTAAGTGCTGTATACAAGCAGGAAAGTGGCTGTAAAAGAAAAAAAATTGTATCGATCGATTGAATGCAACTCTGTACAAAAACTGATGTTTCACATCTGTCATAAGTGGCGTGACCTGGGCCTCTTGACCTGGATTGCAGTCCTTTATTATTTTGTACTTGGCCATTTAATCAGTTGCTATATCTGTTTCTACCTGACCCCAAGTGACCTCATTGGATACATTTGGCATCTGCAAGCTATATATTGCCAGCCAAAAGATACATTTGTCATATTTCAACTGATACCTCTGCAGTCAACATGTCTTGCTCTCTCTCCCGAAACCGCTCACACCGACCACTTCATCCTACACAGGCAACTCGTGAACATCTCGACACCGAGATTTCCCAATATCATCATACTTCTCTGCCACCCCTTCACCATTTCACTTCTTCATCGCATCGTACTTCTAACGCTATTCCTCCTCTTCTTTCACCTCATTCTTTACACTTACTCAAAGCGCATCACTTCTTCCCCTCCTCAAGCAACCACTCTAGTGCGTACACAACCAATACACTCCATTCACCTCCTTCAACTCCAGCTAAAGCTCTCGCATCAACCTCCTCGCCTCCTTCTTTAAGCTCCACTTCAACAGGTTCACTCTCTTCTCTGCCTCACGTACCCTCCCTCTCCCACCTAGATCTCATCCCCTCCATCGATACCACCCTCACTACCTCCCTCGAGGCCTCCATCTCGCTTTCTTCCACTTCCTCTTCCACTTCTCGCCACATTCGCCCTGCTTCTCCACATCCTCCTCGTACCCCTCCTCCCCCTTCCCGTACTCTTCATCCTCCTCCTCCTAAATCTTTCCCTTCCCATCCACCTCCTACTTTCTCTTCTTCCTCTCCACCCACTTCTATCTCCCTCCCTATACCAACATCCGCACGCACCTCCTACTCAGTCCCCCAATCCTCCATCATCTCCGCCCTCTACTCCTCCTCCGCCTCCCTCTCCTCCCCTTCCTCCCTCACCTCTCACTCCTCTCTCTCCATCTCCGAGGAAACACACCTTGTCATGTCCATAATCACCACTAAGAGGCTCATCACTGGCACCAAGCGCCACACACACTGCGCAATTTGCTACAAGAAATTCTCCCGACCAACGTTGCTTGCTCGCCATCACAAAGTCCATTCTAAGCAACGCCAACTTGGATGCCCAAACAAATCCAAGAGCTGCATCCCAGCCGACAGCACCGGCACAACCAATGAGAAGCCTTCGATGTGTGAATTGCGTAGTGACAATGCCATTGCCTCATCCAGTCTCATTCACTACACGAAACACAGGCATGCTCCAACACCTCATTCTCCACCGCATTCTCCGCCAAAAAATTCACATACGCCTCATTCTCCGCCCCTTCCTCAATCACCACACAATCACCCTCGCCCTCATCACACTACTTATCCTCCTCCTCCTCCTACTACTACTACTCCTCATCCCCATCCCCATCCCCATCCTCCTCCTCCTACTGCTCCTCCTTCTGCTTCTGCTACCACCACCATTGACATTTGCAGCGCGCCCACTTTAGGGTCTCATTTCCAATTACCCCGTGCTGCTGTGACACCTCAAATCGTCCCACCTAGTGCCACAGTCACTTTAAATTACCTGGCTTCCGTGACTCCACCTCACTCCGCTTCCACTTCAGACAAGTTCTCCATTTGCCCATCCCTCGGCATACCACACCACACCTCACACCATTTCTCATCCTCCTTACACTTCGCACCCAACCATCATGCACCTCCTTCTATTCCTTCTCCTCCCAATCCCGCTCCCACACCTCTTCCACCAGCACCTCCCCTTTCATCTCCACCTACACCTCGTCTTCCTCATGCTCATGCTCATGTCCATGGTGGGGC